TCCGGAAGAACTAGTGACTAGTGACCGACGACGGCCTGCGATTTGCGGCCTCTACAACGAAAGACTTCTGTGTACAAAGGGGAATCAAACAGATCTTCACCGCCCCGTACAACCCTATATCGAATGGACAAGAAGAGCGTTTCGTAGACACATTCAAACGCTCTTTCAGGAAAATGGCGGAAGAGGAGGGGACACCAGCTCAGAAAATCAGGACAATTTTGAGGACATACCGGAGCACCCCAAATCGGAAGATCAACGAAAAAACCCCAGCAGAGCTATTCGTCGGAAGAAAACTCCGGTCTGGAATGGACCTACTACTCCCAAGCAGCGCCGCGAAGATCAACTCTATCAACGCACCAGGCCCATCCTACAGGGCACGGATGAAGAACGATTTCGATCGACATCAGGGCGCCGTGACGAAGACTCTCGAGCCGGAAGACTGGGTCTACGCGACCCGATTCCGGAACAACAAAACATCATGGGTGCCTGGCGTCGTGAAGAGACGCACAGTTGCGGTCAACTATGGTGTCGACAACGCAGGGGATCTCGCCAGAAAACATGCGAATCAGTTGAAGAAACGATACCAACTCCAGAGAGACCCCTCGGAACTTGATAACTCCATGGTCCAGCTCGCTCTCGATTCCCCCATCTTTCCAACAAAAGGGCAAATCACGCCGTCAGGGAAGACCAAACCCCCGTTTCGACGACCTCTCACGTGTAATAAATAGAGCCTGGACTTTCAGGCAAAATGCCATAAGTGCCTATAACTGCCTATTTCCGTGTTTTACCCGACATTTTGCCTATTTCTGGTTTTCTTCAGGCATTTTGCCTATTTCGGACTTATTTCTGGCGGATGTCCTCTCAATTCGCTTTCTGCGCTCTCTGTTCAATCTATGACGTCGGGAAATGGATGGAGCAAGCATCTGTTTTCTCAATCTCAGCCAATGGCTAGCAACTGCCGCGTCGTGCAACGTTGTCGTGCGAAGTGACCATGACGGCGCCACGGGCAAGTGCGATGGAGACCAGCTGACAGACAGATAAGAAGTACACGGTACGCTCATCTCTCCGTTTGAGCCTCGTTGAGCTGTCTGTGAACGTCGCTACTGTGAGGTTAAATCGGAGTTACTTCTGTCCAAGTATCCGGGTCGGCTTGTCGTCGGCGACTCACTCCCAAGCTTTGGTTAATTCGTAGGGGAATCGTGAGAAGAAGAATGCCGAAACAAGCACGCAGCGCGCGTGGCAGGATGGAGCTTTTCGTCAAGGAGCTCGGGCCAACCGTGCTGACAACTGACGGCAGAAAGAAGAGAAAGAAGTCAAGTCGGACAAAAAATATTTCGTGCAGCAGCATTCGAAGAGCGTCGGACATAAGGACCGTGAGCGACGCTCTCAGAAAGCCACGCAGAGCGTCTGTCTTGTGACCAACTTTCTCGAATTCTCCACCAGAGCAAGTGTTTTCAATATGGATCTCTGTCAAATGTTGGTAGAAACAAATATACCCCTGTACAAGGGGCAGGATCCGTCTTTCAAGAACTTCATGTTGAAGTATTGCAAGGAGATCCTGCCCGACCATACGACGCTCCGCAAACATTACCTTAAGAAACTGTATGAGGGCACGATCCATCGGATACGATCCGCGATCGGAGACAAACGGATATGGGTCTCTGTAGATGAGACCACCGACGCGAAGGGGCAGTACGTGGTTAACACAGTCATCGGTTGTTTGACTGCGGAGGAAAGTTCGACTCCATACCTGATCGATTCGGAAATCGTCGAGCGGACAAACCATGCCACCATTGCTCAGGCGTTCATGAACTCCTTGAATTTGCTCTGGCCAGAAGGTATCCAGCATCACAAAGTGCTGCTTTTCGTCAGTGATGCAGCACCTTATATGAAGAAAGCCGCTGCCGGCTTAAAGGTTCTTTTCCCGAATATGATTCACTTCACATGCCTGGCGCATGGAATCCATCGAGTATGTGAAGAGATACGTGTTCTGTTCCCGGAGGTGGACAGCATCATTGCCAATGTCAAGAAATATTCCTAAAAGCGCCTCCTCGCATCCGAGTTCTTCGAGCCACGGCGCCAAACGTGCCCTCGCCTCCTGAGCCCATACTCACTCGATGGGGCACCTGGCTCTCCGCGGCTCTGTACTACGCGAGGCATTTGGAGGACATCAAACGTGTGTTAGAGGAGCTCGACGAAAGCGAAGCCGCTGCAATCAAGAAGTCCAAGGATTTGTTGCTCAATACGAGCGTGAAGTCACACCTCACTTTCATCGCTGCGAATTTCTCGGCTCTGCCCGACTACATCAAAAAACTAGAATGTAGCTCGCAGATGCTGAGCGTGACGCTCAAAATTTTCAACGAATTCAAACAACGCATCAATGAGGCCGAGGGACCCAAGGGAGAGATGGTAAAGAGCAAACTGAAACGTGTCCTCCAACAAAATCCAGGGTTTGAAATTTTGACCCAAATCGAAAGGGCTCTCTCAGGTGAGGCAGGTGGCCCCTCAGCCGCGGAGATGTCTGTCGCCGAAATTTCCTGTTTCAAGTACGCTCCTGCAGTCAGTGTGGATGTAGAGCGGTCCTTCTCCCGCTACAAATCACTTCTCTCCGATCGACGGCACGGTCTGACGCCGGAAAATGCCAAGTTTCACATGATACCGATGTGCAATGTAACTCCAGTAGAATAACGAGCTCCCATTTCGTTACGAAATCACACGTTTCATGTTCTTGCTCCTCCTCGGTCCAGTTCGGAGTGCTTTTTCTTTCAGGTTTTAAGTGCCTTTCTTGCCTATTTTGCCCATTTTTCATGCCTATTTCGCAGATTTTTAGTGCCTTTTTGCCTGCCTATTTTGGAGTTTTTCAGTGCCTGAAAGTCCAGGCTCTAGTAATAAAGCAACGGGTGGTGAAACAACGGGTGGTGAAACTCCTCAAAATCCTTCCATGGCGATCTTTGAGCATCTCGAAACGCTCACGAAGGAGTGCGGAGAACACCTCCAACAAAGCATCAATGAAACCGAACGATTAGTGAACAAAGCACGCCCGTGGAAGGCGCCCCCTCGCTGACAAACAACAAGCAACCAGCAACGGATACAAGAAAGAGCCCGTCCGTCATGGAGATCGAGGAAGCTACCCTTAAACGGGAAGCCACAGAGAGTTTCTTCGGGATTCCGGACCCGAAACGTGAAGAAGATACTACTCTGGTACAGCCACAGAAACCGGAGACTCCGGTCACCAGACACCCGAGCACGCGACAGAGAGGGGAGAAGCCACGGATGCCCGAGGAGATGCGGCATCTGAACTCAGCGGCTTCCAGACCCTGTCGGACACAGCCAACTCCGACGAGGACGAAACAAAACCACGCGAAGAACAGACTGCGACGTCATCCAACAAATCCGACGATGAAGCCAGACTCGGAACGGCTTCCGAGAAATCGGACACCGGACGTCGGATCGTGCACCGATCTCTCCCGGGGAACAAGCGACTACTCGGAAAAAGACAACTGTCCTCTCCCTCCGGGAGGACAAGACCCGAGAAGCAACCCGTCGAAAGACGTGGAAAAGTTGGAACAAACATCACTACTCCAGCAACTGTGCCCCGAATAAACCGACTATGACCGCGTACGCCTATGTTTGGAATGGAGCCAGTTTGGCACCAAGTTTTAAGTTTTCCCCAGTCCGTCACAGAATCTCAAGGCTACTGCGTAGCAAGTTCTTTTGTTCTTGTAAGTAAGCAAAACTCCAGAAGTTATAATTGGCAGAGCAATTTTTCACAATACCTGGAACTTATCCAGATGGGTGAGGGTTTTCCATACCTATGTATATATATGCACCAATAAAGCTTGCTGAGCGCCGAGAAGATCACGCAGACCTAGGTGCTCTGCCCCTGATTGAACACCACTACAAGCGTGTGTGTTTCTTTCGTATCAGTCATTCCGTAAAGTATCAGCGTCCAGTAAACCACCCTCGGTCCACTGTGCTAGCAGCAGGAACCTGAGCCTTCGAAAATCAAACAGCGTTATCAGCACGAGCGACTCCTGAGGTACGCAAGGACACCAGACTCGATTAACTCGAGTAAGTATACTTCGAAAATTCTTCTACGTAGGGGACTCCGGAATGCCCTCAGCAATTGATGCTGGAACGGCGGTACCATCTCAGAAGCCAGAATCACGAAAGCCAGAATTGTGAAAGCCAGAATGGCGAAAGCCAGAATTGTGAGAGCCAGAAGTTGTGAAAGCCCGAATTCGTGGAAGCCCGAATCCGTGATAGCCCGCATCGTTGAAGCCCGAATCGTTGAAGCCCGAATTAATGAGAGCCCAGATTCATGGCGCCAAGGGGTAGAACAATAAACTGTCAGCGAAGGAAAGGCGCGAAAACTCCGTCTCGAGGGAAGCAAGGAGGCAGAACGGGACATAACTTCCGAACGGAGACTCAGCTAGAAACTAGTAGGAAGCGGGATCCGACAACAACAGTGGAAATACTGACTTCCTGTTTCTGTTTTTCAAGTCGAAAAAGAATAACAAAGAACGACGTCGATGCGTCGAGCGTCGACAAACTGAGCCAGTGTATCAATCGAGAGCTAGTCAGTGATTCGGATTTCCCCATGGAAGCGAGCTCCGTGAATTCCGTTGTTCTTTGAGAACGGCGCCTCCGATGGGAAACGATACCGTCTCGCCCGAGAAGCTCCGAGCTGCGCGCCGAGCTTACAGACGTTCAGTTTCTCGGTTGAATACGGAGTGTGCACACGTGCTGATCTCAGTATCAGGGAGCATCATGGCTAATTATTGTGAGTCCGACTCTAGGTCCGGCACGGTCTCCAGAGTCCCTATATCCGTCCGCTCTCGACCGACCCCAGAGCTCTTAAAGACGAAATCCGTGAAACAAGCCGGGTTAGTGCTGTTTGCAGGAAATGTCCTCCGGGCATCGCCAAATCGAAAGTGAAAGTTTCGATACACCGTGCATCGAACCTCATGCCACACCTTGGGGAGCATCATTCATCGGGCATGGCTACGGCCTTCATCAAATGGCTCGAAGAAAGACGGCAGTCTTCCGCGGCCAATAATCCTCAACGGGTCACTGAAACTCGCGTAGGTCGATCAGCGGGCTGCAAGCAAGTACTTTTCGATCAGGCCCTCGAAGACTTTATCACGGACACGATGGTGCCCCTTCGAGCTGTGGAATGCGATTCCTTCAGGAAACTTCTAGAATTCCTCGACTTCAAACGAAAGGGCTTGAAGCTGATGAGCAGGCGTACCCTCGGCCGGAGGCTCCAAAGAGCCTTCGCCGAGTATCGAGAGCGCTTACGGGATCTCTTGGTGGAGCCCGCATGGGTCGCGACGACGGCGGACGTTTGGTCGGGCGGTCTGCGGTCTTTTTTGGGCATGACTGTCCACTGGATAGACGCCCAGTACAACCGGCGATCGGCACCGCTGTGCTGGCTTGTCAACGATTCCCCGGATCACATACGTATGTCAGAGTCGCGAGTCAATGAGATTCACACGTCATTCGGCCTGTCGCCGTTGAAATTCACCGCTTGTGTTACGGATAATGGATCTAACTTCGTGAAGCCTTTCATCGAGTTCGGTGTGCTCACCTACAATTTGGATGAGCTGGACGCTGAGCAAGACGAGACCAGCGAGCAAGAAATCACCTCCGACGCTGACGACGAGACGTATCGAAGCGGAGCTGAGTATGACCATCAGGACCAAGAGGCTTGTTGAGATTTGAGATCTTGATTGCCGGCTTGTCCAGGGGTGCGAACAGATGCAATTCGAACATCCCATGCAGCATTCATGATTGTCTCTTCATACTCTGAGCCTCCTCATTATTTTCCCGGTCGGGATTGTGTCATTGGACGTGAGGTTGCCTAACATGGAGTCTCCATTATTTTAAGCCGAAGTACGACAGCAGCTGTTATGATGAAGAGGAATACGCGAGCTCCCTAGAGGGATATACGACGGAAGACACTGATGATGACGATCAAGAGAACGAGCACGATGCAAGCGATCAATCGGAGACCGTATCGTGGGTCGGCTCGGACGAATCGACTTTGCTCACCCTGCCTGCGCACGGGCGCTGCGCATCCCATACATTGACCCTCTGCGCGACGAGTGATGTGAAAAAAGTATTCGATTCGGATGCAGCATTGACACTCCGACATGAAATAGTCATTGCGAAGTGCAATCTACTATGGAATTTGACTCGTCGGGCGAGATCGGCAGGAATTATTCGAAACATCCAGGCAGGGCCCTGCCTCGCCCGTGTGCTACTCGCTGGAACAGCTTATACGATTCTTTCTCAGCCCTGTTAAAATTGAGATATGATCTGCCCCGATTCTAGGTGCTCTGCAGCGACCGAATCCCTTTGATGAAGACGATTCTGCTCACATCGAGGAATATCTCAAGTGTTCGAAGCCAATTTCCTGGATAAGCTGCAAGCTGAGAAAACAGGGTTTTACGGTACGCTTCTTCCAACGCTGTACATGATTAAAAAGCAACTCTCAGAAGTCTCTAGAACACCTCTACGGTTCTGTATACCAGTAGTTGACGGATTAATCCAAAGCGTGGAAAACCGTTTCAGGAATGTTCTCGACTGTCGGACAGCCGAAGGCCAGAAGAGCGCCATCGCGAGGCTTTCGATGCCGCTCATTACGGCCATAATCATACGTATGACTTTTTTTTTAATAATACAACCCAGTTTATCGATGCCAAACTTGTACATGTGAAGACAGGAAAAGATCGTTGGCTTCCACGAGGGCTAGGCGCTGTCCGTGGTATAGGGTGGAGACAGCGCATGTTGGGGAGTGGAGTAGGGGATAAACTAGAGATGATGGGAGCTATGGGAGCAACTTATCGATGTCGCTGAGTTTCAGAGATTTGACATAGGATCTGATGTTTTTCTTTCTTTCCGATATCCTACGGCTAGTCCAGGTCCTTAGAGGGTCAGGAAGTGAGTTGAAGAGAGACAGATATTGCCATTTGTAGAGTCTTCTGGTTCGCTCGAGACGGAATGGCGGAATTCGGATGTTACCGGATCTGATGTTTCGAGTGGCGTATGGGTGGTCGGGCGTGTTGCTTTCCTCAAGTTGAACGGTGATGTGAGCCAGTCTGGTGTGGAGTGTTGGAAACTTGCCCTCTGTAGGACAATGACTTTCCATTGTTTACTGTCTAGAATCTTCTCGAAGTCTATGATAAGGATAACTGCACCAACTTGATTGCCAAGACCCTGATTAGGTATTTATGTTTACTGTCACAACATCGTTAATCTCTGTACCATTATATTTTCTGGAACTAACTTTCCTCTGTACGAGCCTATGGAGCTCTGATGGTATAAAAGCACCTCCGAAATAAACATCAGACACAGATTCTTCTGTCACACGCAAACCCTGCGTGCTCGTTACTCAGAGCATCTTCCCTACGAGACCTCGCCCCTCGGAGATCATCTGAACCCTGTGCCGAATCAACTCTAGACTCTTGAACCGTGGACTCCGACTGACTGAGCACTTTCTCAGTGAGCCAACGCTCAGGATCCTCACGGATTCCCAGCATGGAGCTCGCTAAGCAGTACACTGAGATATAATACTCGAAGTGGCCAGATCGCAAATTTTTCATACGTAGCATCTAAGGAGCCCCTTCCTGTCTTACGAGCAATAATTCTGATGCAGCGGTTCTGAATCGCCTCAATGTGTCTGAGTACGGAGCGGAATGCGGATCCGTAGGCTAGGATCCCGTATCGCAGGTGGGACTCAAAGAGTGCCCGATAGGCCTGTAGAATGACTTCAGAGGAAGCAGATCTACCAAGCCTTGCAAGACAAGCCGCGGCCGGTCTGAGCTTCTTGACCAGACTCGCGACATGCGGCCTCCAGGACAGCTTGTCATCTATCGAGACCCCCAGATAACGCGTCTGTCGGGCACAGGCAACGGCAGGACATGAACACGGTTCTGTGCAAGGATGATCGGAGTTGATTGTGATCGGCTGGCAAGGTTTTACAGATTGGTTACCAAATATCATATGACTACCTTTTTTTGCATTGAGCAAGAGACCATTTGCCATCGACCAATGTCGCACATTGAGAATCACCCTCTCAATCTCAGCTCGGTCAACTCCGGCCGCAAAACTCAACATGAAGCTGCTATCATCTGCATATCCAATGGATGTAGTTCGCGAATTGTTCATCTCCAAGAATAGGTCATTAGTAGGGCTGTGATTTCTATGAAACGCATATTTTTACGCTTATACGCATATTCTACTGTTCTCATGCGTTTTTTCATATTCTGTTTTCTCTTGGCGGATCTTGGGTATCGCGCTCTCTACACGGTCGAATTCGTCGGTCCATTCGAACGATGCGAGGTTCCGTCAAGGAAACACGCGTATCTGTTCGAGGTGGTTATACGCGCATGTCGATACTCCGATCGCTCACAGTCCAGAGCACGCTGCCATCATCTGGTCAGGACGACTTAAAAAAACTTGATGTCTTCTATAAGTTATGTTCGAAAGTGTTCCGGCAACCCAGGAAATTCTCCATGGCTCAACACGTAAACACCGGAGTCCACAGGGAGGCTCTGCAGCGTTGGAAATCCAATAACGGATCGACGGCAGCAAGGCAACAGCAATTGACAGGAGCTGCCTCAGATGGAACCGCAACGAGAAATCAGTTCAACATGGACTTGTGCGCCGTATTCATGGCTTCTGATATACCGCTATATAAACTGTCCAATCCCATCCTCAAGAAGTTCTTGGAGCGGTACACCTCCGCGAAAGTTTTCGAACGGTGCACTCTACAGAAAAATTACGCGCCCATAGTTTACGGATCCGTCGAATCCGAATGCCGAGGAAACGCGTATCCACAACAAGCCTGTCTCCGAGCACTTCTCACCAGTACTACCTCCGAAGCAAGTCAGGTCGACGTGAAGATCTCAGACCTACAGAGCCAAATCGACGACGCGGTTCTCCGACAGGCAGTGGCATCTGCGGACCAGGTCAACCGTTGCTATGGTTGGAACCCTACTTCGCAGCGAGGCTCCTCCAGCCTCAGAGGGCCCAACGGGATCTTGTTCTGGAGGCCTACGGCAAGTGGGCTCCCCGCGAACTCTGGAGAATCCTGACACCAACACCCTCGATCACGGGGAGGGACCTCCGCGCGCAATTTCCGGCAAACCTGAACGAAGTCGTATACTTTCCAATCAGGCAGGGGACGGAGCTACCGCCCGACGTCGTAATATCAGGGCGTCGACCGTACCGTGAGTTCCACAGTTCTTATTTCGAGTTCCGCTCAATGGTGATTGCCATTGCTTCGTTTTTTCGAGACAGCTTCCCTGTTCCAGTCTCGAAGGCACCGCTGGTGCACTCCAATCGGAGGAGTCTGGATCGTGGCCTGACTCTGAGCGCCACATCTCGCCCGGAGCACTGGCGAACGCTGACACAGCTGGCAGCGGACCGGATTCCGCTGGTTCTGGACCCTTCAGTCTACCTACCGGTGCAATTTCCCGGTCATCCTCTGGCAGCTTTCGGGGTGACGAACTGCTGTTCGATCGCGGCACTGTCTACAATTCGCCCCCAGTTTCCGGATGGAGCTCCGCAGCCTCCAACGCGGAGGTCGAAGATCAATTCTACGGCTTCTCAATGCGACGTGTTGGGAGCCTCAGCAACATGATGGAAGCCGGAGCTTCCCACGAAGGCCGACGATCCCCGCGACGCACCTCTTTTTTCATGTACCTTCTTCTTAATCTGGTGTACGGAATCTTCACAGTGATACTGATCTGTGGTCTCTACACTGCCTATTTCTCTGCCATCGGTGAGACTCACCATCTTGCTCCAATGCATGCTACAATTCGTTCTATCTTCGTAGCCATTCACTCTGTCTTTTCTGTCATCACTTCTTTTCTGTTTCGTTCTTTGATCGTTAGGGAACTCTCCAATCCACAAGTCAGGCCTATCTGATAGGTTTTCTCGGCTACCTAGCCTACTAGCTCTGGCTGCGGCGAGCTCGAATCGATGCTGTGCCTGATACAACTGGGACAACGGCTAATAAAGACGAACACTGCTTGGTGTGAAATACCAAAGGCTCCCCCACTAGTACTGATCTTTATTATGCCTTATATAGTGCTGGAAGGAAAGGGGTAAGTCAGTAACCCGTCCACTGCAATTATGACGGTCACTGAACTTACACTAAGTTACAGAATACTGAAGTCATTGTTCCAGCGTCCGGTCTGGACACCGTGAGTCAACTCATGGTCATTAGAATTTTTCTGGGTAGCTACTTTAGTCCATCACTATCCCCGGCAGAAACTACAGACCCGAGCCCCCCCTCATTCTCGAATTCCCGGAGGAGGGCTTCCGACTCCCTCCACCGTCGTGATCGGAACTACTACAACCGAATCCACCTCAATCGATACCATTCCGAGCAAAAGCGACTTCCAAGAAAGCTTTCGCCGGGTTTTCACGTTTTCGAAGCTGACGTGTTTCTCCGTCATGCGAGTTGTATTCTGTCGGTCCGTCTACGACCAAGTCAAAACCCACAGCATCGGGACAAAAAACAAGACCCGACGACTCGATACTACGGACGCACAAGAGCTTTGCCTCCGACCAGAACGCCGTGTCACGAAGCTACGCTACGTAGGTAAAGAGATCTCTGAATAAAGAGAGCCGGCGATTCCCTTTCCACTTCCTTCTCTCCAGGCACGAGTACATGCATGACGTTCTCGTGCCTGAGAGACACTACACTCGTGTACCTGCTAGGGGACACTCCGTTGTCCGAGCAGCTTTACCTTGAATCGTCGGCCGAGTTAACATAACATAACATATTGTTGATATTGGTGTCAGAAGTGGTTGAACCAAGCTCCGCTCGTTTCAACCGGACAAACTCATCGCGGAATCTGCTGTTTCATCGGGGCCACGTGCAAAGGCAAGTTTTACCGGCCGGTGGTGAACGACAGGCCCATTTCGGCGGTCATCGTTGATCCAGACGAACCACGGGCTCTGACTCCGGCGAATTTGCTCTATGGCTACGCGAGTCAGCCCGCTCTGCCGGATATGAAGCGCCTGCGCAGGATGGTGGACTCGGCTAACGCCATAGTTTTTTCGGACCGTTGGAGACACCAGCAGGCGACTCTCAAGGCATTTTGGGAACAATTTCATAACGATTATTTGCAGTAACTCCGCTCGGCGCATTTCAACAGGGTGCAGGACAGCCGGCCTATCAAGCCGGGAAACGTCTGTCTGCTCCACGCAGCCGACGCGCCGAGGGCATACTGGCCCCTCTGTAGGGTTCTAGAGATTTTCGGCGGGGGGGAGGGGCTCTGACAAACGTCAGAGGTCGTGCATCATAAAGACAAATTCCGGTCAGACGCTCAGGAGGCCTATCCAACTGCTCTACCCTCTCGAGGTACCAGAGTTCTAGGAGACGCTAGTACGCAGGCTTCCGGACGCGGGAAGAGCTGGGGAACAGCTCAGGTGACTCACCTATTGGGGGTAAGCGGACCAGCCG